GCCTGCTGATCCCCCCTAACCAGTTTATAACAGGCCACAAGATCCCCCCTCAGCCTTCTCTTTTGAAGGCTGAACAGGTTCAGGTCCCGCAACCTTTCCTCATAGGACCTACCCTCATTTGACCTTGACACGTTCCCTCTTGCATGTGAATGGGCAGCTTCTCCCTCCAGTATCAGCAAGCTGCAAAACAACAAAGACTCCCTCCATCGTACTTTATTTCCTATGTTGTTTTTTTTTTTTTAATCTTGTGATTTGCAGGGGGGGGCAGTGAGAGGGGAGGAATCTGACTCACGACTCTGGAATGCTCTTGGCAGCACAGTGCTTGTGACAGCCTGTGACAGAGACCAAACCCAGCTATTGTGGACATACAGACTCCTGTCTGCACCTCCCTCACCGAGAGCAAAAGAGGAGCCCCAGGAGCATGTGCCTCAGCAGAAATCTTGTTTCCTTGATAGGACAATTTGGAGGAACCCACTGTCAAATGCTGCTTTACCTCACAAGAATGAAATGGGGGCCCAGTGTGATTGATGGTCTGGAGAGCTCTGCAGTGGCTGGACTGAAGCAGAAATCCTGCCTGGGTGGAGTCTGGCACAGGAAGGGGCAGGAAGAGTGGGAAAGGCCCTCCTTGCACTACAGAGTCCCTATGGGTAGAACTTGTCTTCTGCCAGCATAGCTTTTGCATGTCCACGCTCAGCTCTGAGTCCTACAAGCTGGGACCTCTGCTCTTTTCAGTGGAGTTTAAACCACTTCCCTGAGCAAGGTAGGACCTCCCCCAGTACAGTTTGGCCAGCATGATGGCTGCATGGCCAGGACGTGAAGTTACCTGGACTGGTCTAAGCAGTCTTCCAGGCTAGGGACAGAAGTTACACATACACCGGTTTAAGTGATCAGAAACTGGTTTAAACCTGTAGCAGAACAGAAGCTCAGGGCATGTAAACCAGTTTTAAAATGGCTGAAACTGGTTTAAGATAAACCTGGTTGAATGTAATATCAGACTTAACATTTTGGGCAAACCAGTTTATGAAACTTCTGTCCCAGACCCCATCCTGGTTCAAGTTAAATCACAGTCCTGCAGCATCACAGCATGCTTTGAAGCCCTAGGATGGGCTGAACTGGGCTGTCTGCTCCAGAGAGCAGGGCTGCCCCTGCCCCTCTGCTCCCTAGCTGGAGCAGTGAGGGCTGGCTAATAAGGGGGTGGGGTGGGGGGGCAAGCCCAGCTGGGGATGCAGCCCAGCCTGTGGGGGCAGCCCCCTGGCAAACCTTGGCTGGGGTCTGAGGCCAGGGTGGGGGGTTAAACACCCCTTCCTCTGCTCAAACTTGTTGCTGGCTGAGATTCTGGACTCCAAATCCCAGAGGCACCTGGAAGCAGGAAGAGAAAGTGATAAGCAACCCTGAAGAGTCCTGCTGTTGGACTGCAAATTCCAGAGACCTCAGGGGTAGCAGGAAGGGGAAGCAAACATACAGCCCATGCTGGCTACATGCCAGCGATCCGTGCTCTAGCTCCCCCTGGCGTCTGGCCTAAGCCACTGCAGGCATGTGTCTGCATTCCCTGAGGCAAAGGTGTAAATGTCTGTGCACTTCTGTTTCAATTTAATCTCTGCAGCTTAGTTTAACCTCTAAAGACTGAATTAATTTAGCCTCGGGCTTTTTGATTGTCTGTACTTGGCCCCTGTTTCCAGCCCACAGTGTAACTGTTCCTGCAGGAGTGACCACTCTGGTTAACTCTTTGAGCTATGCTGCCCAGGGGTTATACCAGCTGCAGGCAAAGTACAGCCCACAGGCTGGATCTGGCCCACTAAGCATGTTCACCTGGCCCATAGAGGCCCCCCAACCCCCACATAAGGTGGAAGTGAGGCGCCCACTGTACACCCGCCTCCCAAACATACCCTATTGCCTCACTCCCATCCTCATGGCTGGAAGGGGCCTGCCCAGCCAGCTGTAGCTTCTGGGCAGGACTGCTGCTGCTGCAGTCCCCAGGGACCTACTTCACTACCTTGGTCTCCTGCTGGCTCCAGGCAGCAGGTAGGGAAGCGGCAGGGGCAGGGCTGCAGCTGGGAGGGAGCACGGAGCTTGGGACTGGCAGCAGTGCAGAGCCAGTGCTGGGGGGAGGAGGGGCATGGTGGCAGCCCAGAGCTCGGGTGGGCAGTGTGTAGTTGTGAGAGAGGGTAGGGGGTGTGGGCATCCCTCATGACTCTCCCATAGCGCGCAGCCCCGGTGGGCGATGGCAGTGCCAGCAGCAGCAGCAAGCGGGGTGCTCAGGGCACAGGTGCCTGGTGGGGCATGGCTCCAGCTAGTGCTGCATTTCAGGGCGTAGCTTCTCCTGGGCTGTCTGTATTGACAGTGCTCCCTGCTACTCAGGTGCAGCTCCTGCTACTCGCAGAGCAGGGAGGGAAGCCGCACATGGTGAAGCCAGGTGCCTTCCCTGCCAGGGCTGCATAGCACAGGAGAGAAGCCCCATGGACTGGAGCTGCCTGCTTTCCCTGCCCCCCAGTGGAAGGCACCTGGGTCTTCCCTGCCCTGCACCACAGCCCTGGCAGGACTGTTCTCCTGTGGTGCGCAGCCCTGGCAGGGAAGGTACCTGGTTCCACCACGTGGGGCTTCCCTCCCTGCTCTGCAAGTGCAGGGTCTGCATCTGAGTGTCAGGGATCACCGGTGATACAGAGGGCCCAAGGGAGGCTGTGCCCCTCACCCTGATGTGCAGCACTGGCCAGAGCCATGCCCCACCAGGCACCTGCGCCATGGGGGAGTGTGGGAGAGGGTCCCCACATCCCCCCCAACCTCCCTCACACCCACACCCTGCCCCCAGGACCCTCCACATATACACAACCCGCCACCCCCCACATCTTACTCCCCCACCACACACACACACCATACACCCCCCCACTCCCACCATACACACACACCACACAATATACAAAACTAAGAATTTTTTTGAGTTATTATGCAATCACCTCTATATACATGATGCAAACACAAATCATGGCAAAAATATTTTTTGTAATAAAATTAGAATACATTATAGTAGGTGTTTGACTTTATGTATGATTTGGTTTTTTCTGCTTCTAAGATGGCAACCCCACCCCCAAAAGCAGTATTGGGGGGGGGGGTAAGGGGAGGGACTTCTGGCGACAAATGACAGGGGTTAAGGGTGGGACTTCTGGTCCCAAGATGGCGGCAAGGGGGCGTAGAAACTGTCAAGGGGAGGGGCTACGCATGTGGCCCATGATAGCTCACCAAAACTTGTCAAGTGGCCCTCCACCCAAAATAATTGCCTGCCCCTGGGTTATAGGATAAAATGGAGGGGAGGAGAATGGGACAAAAAGCCAGGAAATTATCTGAGGTGAAGCAAAAGTGTCTGTGGGAATTTGACTTCAGAGTTTCCTGAGAGGAGTGATGGTTGTAGTGATCACAGGTTCAATAAAGACAGTCAGGCATGAATAAGAAGAACAAAACAACAGCTTTTATTGAGCAGTAAGCATGCCTCTACAGACCTTTCATCTCTCCGAGTACCACCTAACTGTGGGACCATCCCCCAGGTACCACTTCCTCGATGTCCCTAGCAAGGGAGCACCTCTAAATAATAACTTACTACAATGGTGACCCACAGTATGAAGCAGCTACCCCTCAATCTCCTGGCAAGGCCTCCAAAAGGACGTGGTATGGGGAGCTCAACTACCCAGCCATCCACCCACCCACAGTGCAGTGGGTTTGTGTCACCCATTAATTGTGTCCTCTTGCTGTGACACAACACCTATGGCAACGAGATGCAAATGCACTTGGCTCAAAGCCATGCTGGAGGCACCCCGATTGCTGTCATTTCTTCCTGTGCAAGGGGCTATGAAACACCAGGCCAGGAACTAGGAGTACTGATGTTGTTCCACTGCACCCGGTTTGCTCAGGTGCAGATGAAAATACCAGTTCCCAGGTTGACTAGAGCTCTGGTCTGGATCTCATACCACCTGGATCTTTAAGCCATATAAATTCCCACATAGATGCAACCTCATCAAACCAGTATCGCCCACATCCCTGACTTGTGTGAACATGTTATGTAAATGTGATGGAGCAGAAAAAGGAATGGAAAAAATAGTTATGTGATTTCCCTCCAATTTCTTTGTAGTGATTTGTGGGCTACAGGTTTTATCAGCAAAGGTGCATGGAGGAAGTCAATATTTTTTTTTATTTGAAATCTTTATTTGATGAAAAATAGCATTTTTCTGCCCTAAAGTGAAAACCTTTTGTGCAAAATGTTTTTTTTTTTTTTTTTTTTTT